AAAAGTGAGATCTGGGTTTTGGCTAGAGAGGAAATCATAACCTTGCACTTCCAAGTCTCAGCTGAGAATCAAGCCTCACTTTTTTAGATCCTTACAAACATGGCAAGAGCATGAAAGCTACCCCCAAGCCCTGCAATACAATGAAAATAAAAATATCACGAATAAAGAGTACTCAGTAAGGTTTGTAATGTATTTGCCAAAGGCTGAACTTTTCTCATAAATCCTGCCATGGCTGAGTTACTACTCTGTAATAGTAGTAACTTGAAGGGTACAGAAAGATTTTAATGAGAATAAAGACTCTTAACAACGCTCCATAAAATGAAATCTGTATGAGGTTAGCCAAAATCCCACGTGACAGCCCACACTAGTGTGTGGTTAGCCTCCATTTCACCTGTTAATTCTGCAAATAGTGTCCTTGGTTGACTCTGCAGAGTGCTGTTTGCTCCTCTTGGCAGGCACTGTGCTTTGACCTGCCAGCTGTTTTAAACTACCAAGTCTGACTTTTCTGCTGACATTTTTGCACCTTATCAAACAGTTTTGGTTCAATTTTTTCTTCAGCACTGCTGGCCATGAAAGAGGAGTTGCATTAAATTGCCCCCAGGGTTTACAAAACACACAGGTTAACACTGGATTTATCTGGCACATTCTTTTGCACAGGTGTCCTGCCCTTTACTTGATGTGTAATTTCATTTGACACTACTCTAAGTGTTGTTGCGTGCAATTGGTAGCAGCGATACAATGGAATTGTTCAGGAGCCCCTGTAATTTGCAGGGCTGTGGTTAAACCATCCAGACAGACAGCCTGGACTGAAAAAATGAGTGGCCTCACAGGGCCAGGAGTGAGGATATTTCAAGACTAATCCCAGCTCTTTAATTTTCAGCCAGAGCTGTGGAAATACTTTGCTCGTGACTGACTCCATGTTACCATCTGTTTTGCATAGACAAATTTAATTGCAGAGATGTTCCAAGATTTAGTGGCTGTAAAACTGTTCAACAATTTCAACAGAGTGATAAAGTTATTTTCAAGCTAAATTAACTTGAAAATGTGTCTGGTGCTACGCGATTCAGTTTCCTTCAGTACTTTAAACAGACAATGCCTGAATATTTCAGAATGACACAAAAGCATTTTCTTTTGTCCCGCTCCCACCTTTATGGGAAGTGGCAGACAGTTGTCTTGTTTGCTCCTTATGAAATACTGATGAAGTAAAACGCCTTATTGGAATGCACAGATCACCCTGAAGCTGGATGGGGGACATGCTGGCAATGTTCTAACATCTTTTCTCTCTCTGCCTGCAGCATTTCTCCTTCTGCTCCCTCAGGTTAACACAGCTGGAGAGAGCTGCTGAGAAAAGCAAGCATCACCCGATGTGTTGTGAAGGAAGTGGTGACTTGGTGGTGAAAAGGCTGTTTGAATTCATCAGGCAACTTCTGCTTGAAGGTTCCTGCATCTCTCTGGAGTAAAAACACAGTATTTTTCTCCACAGGGCCTGACAGAATTAGTATTAAACTCTTCACCACTCCAGTCAAAAGTATTTTTAAAAAAATTATGGAAAACAATGTTACTATGCTGGTATTTGTTGTTTTCTCACAGTGCTAAGTCATTTAATGAATGAGACCAGTGGAACAGAGCAGGAAAAGTGCATTTGACAGTGCAGCTCCAGGCATTACACGAAATGCTGAAAGGCAGTGGTGCCACCTGGTGATACGATTTTAGCTGGAACTCCTAGAAACTGTACAGGAATAGGATTTCCCTCACTAAAAATGATGTTCTGTGAGCAGGAGGAGTTTTGTTACGGCTGTGGATAGATCTGAGGGGCTACCAGGGAATGTACCTGGACATGAAACCTCATGCTGGAGTTTGTTTTGGCTGCAGCTTGGCAGGGTCAGTTTCCCCAGATCCCAGGAGCAGGATTGTGAGGCAAATCTCTCAGAGCCAGGGGCTACTGCCATTAAAGTGCTGTCAGCAGGGGTAAGAGGGCTGAGGGCCACAAGACAGGCTGCTTTACTTTCATTTTCACAACACTCTTAGCAAGGCAGAGCAGGCTGACATCTCCCTGCAGGCCTTCGCTGTTGCTCTCTGTAGACTGGCACACTACTGAGAGATCTTTAGAGGAGGATGTGTTAAAAAGTTTAATTTAAGATGGCCTGACAGTTTAAATCCTAAGGGGTTCCCTTTCTCTGCTGCCTGTTGTGAGGTGCAATTAAATAAATATATTAAATATATTAAATACATTAAATATCCTGGCTGTGCAGGCAGGGCTCAGAGAGGGTTCCTGGACAGAAAGCCAATGTTTTCTGGGAGAGAGAACAGGCAGATCACAGGAGGGACAAAGAAACTCTCTCAGGTCAGCAAGGACAGGGTGTAAGGAGTCAGCCTCGGTAACTCCTGTTCCTGCAGCTGTCAGCAAGTGCAGAGGAGCCTGAAGGATGGAGCACAGCCTGTCAGCACCAGATGCACCCCTGGGCATTCCTGTACTTCAGGAAAAACATCTTCCCTGCTGCCCTTTGGAGAATGTGCCTGCTACTGCTTCATCGTTTTCTCTTTCCACTCAAAGTTTCAGACCAGTTTCCATCCCCCTCTGTCCTAAACACAGGCAGTGGCCTCCTCCAGCCCAACCCAGTCAGCTCTGGAAACCTGTGCAGCACCACACAAAGGCAGAATAAATAGCAGGAAGGATTTGGCCATTGCTGCCTGACCCAAAGCCTGGCTCCCACCCCAGCTGCAAAAAACAGGTTTTGGGTTATGTGAGAAGTGTAATTAGACTGGTGAAGAACAAGCACCAAGGTGAAAAGTGTCCTGTTTTAAATTTTCCAGTGTCCTGTAGGATTTTAATGACAGAACTCACCCTTTATGCTTTTAAACTCCAGATTTTCAGTGCTTTTTAGGGGACTGTACTGAAGTTAGGGACAAACATACCTTGCTTACAAAGCCACCTTGCAACAGTGGGAAGCTATTTTCCTAACACATTTCATGTCCCAGTGGACTTCTGTTTCAATGTGAGAAAGAGGAGTTAAGAGGATCCTTCCCTGCATTCAGGGGCAAAATGAATTAGAACAGATTTTCAGGCAGCACCACTGCAGCTGGGGGGCACCAGGGGCTGAGGATGGGTCATGTGCAAGTCAAGGCAAACTTTACAAGGTTAATTTCTTACACAACAACTGCTGTTTCTAAGCCTACTAGAGGAAAACATTCCTCCCCGAAAAACAAGACAGTTTTGGTCTTGTACCAGATGCATGAATTGCTTTAAGTCCCTCTGGTCCTGTGCAAATTCCACTACAAAGATAATTATTGGATGGATGCAATAAGCACATTCACTTCAGGAACCAAATTCAGCAGAAACCTGTTGGGTTATGAACATCATTCCCTTACCACCACCCAAAAAAAAAAAAAAAAAAAAATCACTTCTTTTATTGCAGTGACATCCCCCTGGTACAAAGTATTAACTGCAATAATTACGTTAAAACATTAGAAAAGCATTTGTGTGGGACAGTTACAGTACAGTGTCACATCTTACATCCTCTCAAACCAAGTGGGCCACAACCCACTAACGCTCAAATCTTTTAAATTATTTTTAGTTATTTTTTTTTAAATATGTAATGTCAGAAAAAAAGCATATAAAAAGAATGTATGTAAAAGGAAACCTAAACACAAGTGAACAAATAAATAATTGATTTTCACCAGCTATTATTGTCTTCCTAAACCCATACAAAGGAACCTAATCTATAAGAAGGTATGAATTGCCATGTGTAAGTGATTTAATTTTCCACGTAATTAATGATGATTGGAACATAAGTAAATTTGGCATCAAAATCAAAGCAGGAGTTGGAGTGACTGCCACTGACTGACATCTTTTGCAGACAATTACCACAAACTGTTCAAATTTAAGTGAGCAAATAATCTTGGAACTTGCCCTCATGCCTAGCATTAGTGGACTCCTGAGAGTGCATGTGAAAAGCATCCTATGGTATTTCACAGACATGACCTTAACTATCCCCATTATGCATATTTAGATATACTTTATATAATTTTATACACATATATGCATGTATACACACACTTCATTTGGTTTCTGTGTTGTGTTACAGATCACAAGCAATGGTTTCCTGAATGGGCAAATAAACCTTTTTTAAATAAGTGTACCTGTGCACATTTTGTTTTTGTATTTTTATTTTTATTTTTTTTTAGATAGCAGCACTAAGTCCATGCCATACTGTCCATCTGCTCAAAAGAATGTTACCCACAAAACAAGGAGAAATGTGGCAATGATTCCCTATGCACAATGTGACAACCTTATCCCCTACAAAAACACTGTAAAACCTGTGATATTTATGTTGGTAAGTTTGATCCACATCCCCCCACCGGGAAGGAAACGTTCAAGCTGGGTTCATGCTGGCATCAGTTATCTCACACTTAGCAGCAAGACATGCATGTTTGTTTTTCTTAGAAGTTTTTCAAAAGTGAAATGATTCCATAGTCTCAAAAATCCAATTGACAGAAACAGCAGAAAAAAAAAAAAAAGAAAAAAAAAAGGTTTTTTTTGCAGTTTACCAAGAACTTGACAACAGTGTACACTGCACAGTGTGTTTTTATCTTTAATCACAAGAAGTTGAAGCTCTATCTTGCCACACAATGATTATACTTTGTCCTTCAAAAGGAACAGTTACATTTCAATTTGATCCTGTATTTAGCAGAAAAAAAGGAAAAAAATCCCAAAAAACAAACCTCAAACAAACCAACCAACCAAAAAAAAAACCAAAAAACCAAAAAACCTTTTTCTGTGCATCCTTAAATGAAAGTTACTCACCCATTGGTAAACTGATCCAGTAGCATGTCCAATGCTAATATCAAAAGCTTGTGAAATGTTTTTAGGCAATCCTTTCTATCCAAAAAATATTAGGAATTTAAAAAATAGTTCACATTACTAACCTTTATACAAAGGCTCAAGTGAAATTTCTTTTGCAGGTGTTTGTAGCAGACTAAATAATGAAGTTTCCAAAATATACAATGAAAGGGCACACAAGACTGGCAGTTTCTTTATTGAACATAGAAAAATGTATAAAGTAGGATGTATGGAATAGATCAAAACTGCTAGACGATCAAACCTGAGTATTATTCAGTAAGACTAAACTCATTTTCTGACAACTGAATGAATTGACCTAAAAACATCTCCCCTAAGAACTCAGTGGTCCGTTTAACCATTTCTTGAAAAATGCGAGAGAACTGCAGCTTTTACATTTCATACTGGATAGCACAACTCCACATAGTGTTTACTGTTTTCTGTTAGATAGCATCACATTGCTTTTATTATCCCCATTCAAGCCTTAAGTCGAGTTTTGTTTCAAAAATAAGTTGAAAGTGACACTAAAACATAAGAGGCCAAGAACTAGGACAGGTCTGGTCTTTTATTTTCTTCTAATTTGCATTAAGATAAAAAGCCTCAAGCCAGCAAGATGAGCTTGATTTCACAGCAGAGCTAAGACTTAGAGGATATTACACTCTGCCAAGGCAGATAAAATTAGCTGTGTCAGACTACTGCCAAAGTAATATACATTGTCAAATTTGAGAAAAAAACCCCTCTCTTCAAGCAGAATTAATTTTATTTTAACTGTTATAAAACTTAATGACAGCAAATGTCAGGGATTTGCTTTAGTTCAGCTGACCTGCCCCAATTCTCACCTTTAAATCTAACAGATGTAATAATAGAAAAAACAAAAACAAACGAACAAAAAAAAACCCCCAACAAATCGAAAAACTTTCTGATGACAAAAAACATACAGTACTAAGAACTAATAGCTCAATGGAAGACTGAAAAGCAGCATTCATTTTTATTGTAATATGGAATAGACCAAAAACTAAAGGAAGTCTGATCGAAACTCTTAGTTGAAGGCAAATTTTGACATTCTATATAAATTTACAAAATAGGATGTATGGGTGAGATTTGGTTAATTTCAGAAGGCACCTCAAGGCTAAAAGGCTTTTATAAATCTATAATCCTTTCATTGATCAAAAATACAACATTTTATTGCTGCTATTCAAATAGCAAACAAAAAGCTCGTCTTGTTCTTCAGTCTAACAAGGAATCCTCCCCCATTAAGCAAGATTAAATTACAGAAAATATAGAATAAAACTGAAGATGTCACAACTTTAGAAATACAGTGACTTTCCTTGTGTGCTTTCAAGTCAGTGAAATAGTGAAAGAAGAGTCACTTTTTGCCTTTGTGATGTTAATGAGCGATAGACCACGGCAGTGCCTCTCCCCTGGGCACTGCAGTACCATTTCATCACAGCTGTGCCACCTGCAGCACTCTTAGGAATAGAAGGTGAGGACACTCTGATGATTCCCACGGACAAGGAGGATGGGTGGCAGGTCTTTAGAGAGAACTTCCAGCCAGGCCATGTACAGTGCACTGGAAACTGCCCCTTTCCGTGCCACTGGCAAGCTCCTGCAAGCCACAAGGGAAACAACTTTCACTGAGCAGAAAAACCTGGCCAGGTACAAGTCAGATCGTAATAAATATGACAGATGCTTACAGAAAGATCTAAATATTAAGCCAAATTCACTGATATTTTTAATATTTCCTCCCCCCTCAGAATTTGTATCTTAAATATCACAGGCATTTACATCTATTTCCCCCTCATTTTTGGCCTGTTAACACCATTTAATACCCAGGCAGCTTCATGCAGAATTCTCCTCAGCTGAGTACATTTTCCTCATCTTCAACATTTTAAAATATGGTAAGAGATCTGCAATCTGCCTCTTGCTTGTTCACACCAAAAGCAATCCTCCAAAAATCTCTGAGCAAGATAGTGACTTAATTTTATCTAGAGAGATCCTCTAGAAAAGGAAATCGAAGGAAGGACTTGAGAAAGAGGGGAGTAACTGCACACCAGAGGAGAAAGAATGTGACAATCCTGAGCTGCACCACAAACATAGGGGTCAACTGAAACAGCATCATCAAAAGCATAACATCAAAAAGGACATTTTATTCTTCAGCAGAATAGTGGCTCCATGCTTCAAATAAATAAATACAGCCAGCCCTGAAATCTTGAATATTTCTATACTTCTATGACAAGGCAGAGTTTTGTTCCTGATCTATATTTACATTTATATTCCAAATTACAGCTCCATATCAATTCAGGCACTACCAAAAAATCCAAATAATTTACTTACATGACAATTATGTTAGCTGTACTTGAATGTTCTTTCAGCAACTCGTTTAACCTAATCTGTCGGTAAGTCTGCAAATAAAAGGAAACTTGTTAGGAACAGCTTTTATTTAAAAACTACAAAAAATTCTTTAAAAAAAAAGGGAAAAGAATATAAAAGAAAGACAGAACAGCCAACTGGAATGAGTAATTAATAAAAAGCAGGTACTTTATAAAAAGTGCTGTGGATGAGAGAGAATAGCAGGAATTAACCAATTGTTATCACAACCACAAATGCAGCAGAAGGAAGTTTTAACTGATGTAACATTCTAAAAAAGCCCAGAACCTTTGTTTTGTAAAGCTCAAGCTCATTATCTGTTATCCTCCATGGTTCATCCTCCTTCATTTTATCTGCAACTTCTTGTTCTTTATCATCCTCATGAAGTCGGAAGGGCTCTATCATTTCCTCAAAAGCTGCAATACTGGAAGGATTAAATAAACAAGCATTAGAGCAGATATGAATTTTTTATGTCAAAAATTATTTGAATATTGAAAATATTTTAATAATATTTTTATTATTATTTCAATAATTTTTCAGAAATTAGGTTTCATTGCTATGTAAAAACGAACTGAAGCTTTTCCTTCCCCCCCCACCCTGTTGCAGTTAGAACATCAAATCAGCTTTTTGCACATGCAGACATTATGATTCAGCAAACAATCCATCATACAATTAAAGTTATACTCAGTTCAGAAATTCACCTCTAATTTTAAAAGCTGAACAGTATTATCCTTAAAAAGGGACAGTGACAATAACTAGGAGCAGGTTCTTCAGAACTAATGTTGAAGGAGGGAGTTTACATGCCACAGTAAAAAACCAGCTATCAAGTCTCATGCCACTGCTGTTAGGATTCTGACTTTGATCTTTTTACTTTGCTTCTTTTATCTCTTTCTGGTACAGTCCAGGAGCCACATTCAAATGAAAAAAGCACAGATATCCAACTTAGTCTTCCTGTTGCACTGGTAAGAATACGAATGCTTTGAATTTACCAGGACTTTAGAGCAGTAACTTCAGAAGAAAGCCTTCTGAAGATGAAGGAGGAATTAATTTCTGCTAGAAAGAACTCTTGTTATCCTACTTTTTTACCTACATTTCCTCCAGGAAAAACTCACATGACAAACAAAACATCTTCATAGCTACCTTTGGTGGTCTTTACTGTACAATGACTTCACCTTAACCATAAGGAAGTAAACAAATGTGATCTGCTCTTCTTTGGCTGAGCAAAAAGAGATCTAATAATAACACTATTATACAGCACAGCAACTGCTAAAAATAAATCTTCCTCCACTTGGCTTCCAGCTGTTTTTAATACCTAAATGGTATTTAGAAATATTTTGGATATATTGTGGGGAGGTATCCACAGAGACAGAAAGAAAAACCCTCTCAGAAGAAATAATTCATGGATCACTTCTATTAAACAAAAATAATTCCATGTGATTCTAGGATCTCAACTGTGATGCATAAATGGGTGCTACTCCATCAGCACTTACACCTTTCACAGCAGCAGGCTCCTGGAAGCTGAATATCCAAGAGCACCAGAGTGCCAGGAATAATTTGTTTCACTTTGTTTTAGTTGCTCAGTGTATTGCATACATTTAAGAAAAGACTATTAAAAAGGGAATAAAAGAACTGGTATTAACTTTAGCATTTAACCAAGTTCTGAAATAACACTTCTCTACTTTCCATGGTGTATCAAGACTTTCAGATAAATGCATGGCCATATAAAAGATATTTTTACAACTTCAGCATGCTCAAGAAGGCCTGAAGGGAAAGGAGGATAATGGCAATGGAAGATATTTTTAGATCATACACATTCTGTTCTAAATTTGTGCCAAAAGCTATCTATAATTAATGCTTTTTTTAACTTGAAAGTAAGAAATATTGTATGTATGATCATTCCTGTGTCCATTAAAAGTCCAAGCAAGTTAAAAAAGGAAAAGGAAAAAAAGAAAGAAAACCCAAATCAGGCTATTTCAAGACCAAGCTTTGTTACACTAAAGTGTAACTAAAGTAAACTAAAGTTACACTAAAGTAGGACTTCATGAGATTCAGATCATTTAAGTTTTGGTGAATGTCTCTCTCTTCTTTAAGAGGACTGCTCAAGACAACTCAGTTTTTTAAAAAAATTCATTTCTCTGAATTCAGTATTACAATCTAAGGGCCAGAGCTTAAAAAAAAATACAGATTTCTATATTCTTGGACATGGGAATTATTGTTAATTAATTTCCCATAATTTTATGAAACACTGAACAACACAGGAACTTCTGTACCTTAACATATGTAGGAAAGAATGAAATGTTCTATATTAAAGACAAATTCAATGAACAAACAAGGTATGTTCTGAGACTTACTTTTCTTTCTTTGGCTTAGTATTAATATCCCCAAGGACCATAATATCTGAGAAGTCTATCCGAAATTTGCTGAGCAGAGTAGCCATCCTGCATCAGAAAAAGAAGCCTTTATACATGATCATAATTTTAATTATTTCACAGGTTAAACAGATAAATGTTTGGTTTAAAAAAGCATTGGTTTGAGGAACAGGAAAAAGGCACCTCAAATGTAACAAGGACAATGATCAAACTGACTTGGCATATGATTATAAATCAACAACATGCTTTGGAAAATAAACCCAAACAGTTTTATGGCTTTAAAATAAAATAGAAGCTCTCACTTGAAGATAATCTCAGAAAATACTTGAAAATAGCATCAGATAATATTGCAAAAAAATTCGTTTGAGGTAACTCATCCAAAAACAATCTGGGGGAAACAAAACCTTTTTTTGAGAAAGGCAACAGAATATGATCACACCTCCAGCAAAGAACAAGTGAAATGAGGGAAGTAGGAAGAGAAAATAATCCAATGCTGAATTAGCATTTGAAATGGCATTTTTAAGGCAAACTTACGCTCTTCTGTCATGATCAATCCTGTTTATTTTTCCACCAATGAACACCCTGATCTTGCAGTCCTTCCACTTCTTCTTGGTGGTGATAAGGTAAGGAATCAACAGTGTCAAACCTGTGTTTTGGGTAGAATTTGAGACAGATTAAGAAAACTGCACTTTGTTAAATAATACAGTTAGATTAGATTATAATCCAGATTATAGACTTTACATGAAATGACTGACAGGTATCTATATTTATTAAACAACTAATACAGAATTACTCCAATAATGATTTTTTTTTTTTAATCAACATTTGAAGCTTTTTAAATTATAAAGCACATTACCTCCATCATCAAAGAGCCACCAGACATCAATATTGCTCTTGCCTTGTTTCTTCTGGAACTGAGAACTGGCATCAAGAAGTCTTTGGTCAGCCAAATTTAAAGGAGAGCTCTTTGAATCTGGAAAAAAGATATGGTGAAATTTTGGTTTTGAAGCATTTTACTTCATCACTTTGAAAATCATCAAATGCAACTTCTTAGTATTTTGTGATATATCTACTTTTAAATTAAAATTTTTCCCTTACACCCCTCCTCAACCCAACTCCAAATTTTGACTGACTGGATATAAACTGAACTGGCTGTATTTAGAATGTCTACAGATTCAATTTCAGCAGCTGAAGTCATTTAGCAGGCATCTGAGAAATAAAAAGATGTGTGAGGTCTTTACACAGACATTTGCCTGGACTATTTAATTAACTTTGCTCCAGAGCTTTAGACTGGAGCAATCTGTACTCTACCTCTTGCAACTGACAGAAATTTCCCCTAAAAATATGTAGGTAGCTGATTTTACAAGTTAAAGTCATGTCCTAAGCAATTCTTTCCTTAAATCCAGTTTTTTGAAGAATGTGGTGAAATTAAAAGCTATTTATGCATATTGGGTCGTTTTGCAGAAAGTACTGTTTTGCATAACAAAGTTATTTGATTTACTGAGACAATAATAGCAATTTTAGTTAGAATAATATAGATCTTTTCTCTTTGAACTGCAGAGAAAAAACCCTATCCTCTTTCTCTTAATTAAAACCTCAGTCTGAACAAGAGCCAGGAGTCTGACATTTGTCTCTGTCCTTATTTTATCAGGAGTTTTTTAAATTTAGAGCACATCTGTGACTGATTTACATTAATATACTACTTTATTGCATACTGGGACTTCTTCCAAACTGCCATCTTGTGCTTCAAGATATAATCTCACTTTCCATTATTAAAACACAAAAGCTTCTAGCTGCTGAAATTACAAAGAAAATGTCAAAACAGTTCAGATGAATTGCAGTTAAGGCAAAAAATACCTGATCAACTCGGAACAAGTCTGAAATAAACGAGGAAGTGAAAACTGCTCAGGTGATTTCTCAAAATGCTGATTTGAAGGACTACTTTGCATTGTTTCAACATGTTCACCTCACTGAGCAGCTGTACTGAGCCTTAATTTTCAGGATATTGAACTGTTTCCAAATGACAGAGCAACAACCATGACTTTGGAAGATACACTGAATAAACTGAGAGCATTTCCACTACACCATCAGATGCTATTTCCTGAACCAAGCAAGGACCCAGACAGACACCTGACACAGAACTGAGAAAGCAGAAAGGTCCTGAACACATTTCAAATGTTACTTTAAGAGAAGAGCTTTTTAGTTTTCATTTTTTAAAAATTCCAACACTTATGCACAATCCTTTCTCAGCAGCAGCTTCTTCTGGGAATTTCCACAATGTTGCTTTTTTTTTCACAGCCTAGTCCCTAAGGATGAAGCAATTCTAAAGCAGATATGAAGAAACAAATAAACATTGCATGGTTGGTATTTTCCCCTCTGGTACTTAGGTGTAGAAAGAATTACAAAAGGAAAACTGAAATCAACAATGTAAAAGAATGATTTAACACAAAAAGATGGAAAATGCCTGCCTTTATTCAACAGTGGCTGTGTTGGAGTCTTTCCATCCTCATCCTCCTCTGGAAGGTGTTTGAAGATACAAAATGAAAAGGTTAATTTCATTTGTGACATTAATGAACACAATACAAATGTAAATTAAGAAAAAAAAAAATTAGAAAATAAAGATGTGAAATGAAGCAGTTTTTTTGCACGGAGAAAAGCACGCAAATGCAGTCTACCAAATCCTAGGATTCACCTGTACTTAAAAAAATTTATATATACCTCCACTACCCATCTAACTATTAAAGTTTTTACTTTATAAGAAAAGAGTAAAGTTGTTTACTGTCATGTCAAAGTCTCTTGAATGATTTGTATTTGTTACTATGCACGTAGTATTCAAGTCTGAGATGAACAAATCTCCATAAATTTAGCAACATTCCAAGCACTCCTAACATACAGATGTGGAGCACAATCCTCAAGCATTTTTTACTGTCTCTCAAGCTCAGTAACAAAAAAAAAAGTCCATTTTAAGTCATTGCCTACCACCTGGTTTATTTAGGGGTCTTGAAACAAGTATTTATTTTACATCCTGGTAAGATCTGAACCAAAGTACTGAAGAGATCAGACATCAACATCTATTCTGGAGACAAAAAAAAAACCCTAAATAATCCCTGGGCAGAATGAGAGGGTGGAAGAGTGAGAATTCAATCTTCTCTGCTAACTAGCAGTTACCTTTGCGTGGAGTGGGAGTTCTTTCACTGGATGATGGAGCAAAAGCTATGGAGGTGTCTGTCTCAGACTTCTTGCTGTAATCCACTTTTACTATGACATCCTTGGTGCAGGGAGACTTCTCTTGGGATGACAGCAAATCTTTGTAAAAAGCAAAAAAAACCATTAGGATGCAATGAATTGTTACAAACACCACAAACAGAGGTATGTGACTACACTGACTGGGTTTAATATCAACTACATCCTGCTGCAACAGTTACACCACAGCAAAGAGGGCAGGAGTGGGGAAAAACAACACAAAAGTATTCTGTGAACTTCTTCAGAGCAAAAAGAGGCTCTCCCTCTGAGCAGAGCTGTCATTTTCTGCTGCTTTCTCAGGTTGTGGCTGCTGACTGCATGCCCAGAGTCTAAAAACAGAGCTCAGTAACACTGTGGAACTACAACCAGAAGAGGGGGGGAAAAAAAAAATCACTTGGTGAAACGATTTCTGCTTTTAACTCCAAGAGGAAGATGAGCCTTAGGCACAGCACAGACCAAGTGTGTCTGTCTCACTGCCAAGCCTTTTTCCCAGGTTTGCCTCTGTGCAAGAGCTGTCAGAGCTGAAGCAAACTCACACAGTCCTCAGTGGGTACCAAGATCCTTCTGACACCTTGGTGCTACGTTCCCAGTTTTCTCAGCAGTGTTGTTTCCACACTGCAGGTTCACTCCTTGCCATTTCTCACCCTCCTCTGCCCCTCCTGCACATGGTGGCAAGGCTCTCTGACTCTCTCCAGATACTAGAACATTCATCTTTTCCAGTAAAGGAACCTCCTCCTTCAGGGGGATGCCCCTCCTTGTGTCATTTCTCCTCATGGTAGCAGCATTGTATGGAGCAAGCCACAAACAAATTCCAGATTACCAAATCAGGACAGCTGCTCCAAAGCTCACGGGCTTGGAATTTAACTAAAATCACACCATTCCACTTAAGAACACTACTCAAAAAGCATAGCCAAGTCTTCCACACAGAAAACCTCCCCCAAATTTGAGGCAGACTACTCAGAGTCCCTAAACTAGTCTGTGTAGGGGTTGGCAACCCACACCAAAATCAATGGCATTCCTGTACATTGTGGTATTTGCTGCGATTTTCACAATTTCTGGGCTTGAGCCCCAAATACTTGATGCCAACTTGCCAGCATGACTAATCAGTTTCAGGAAAGCAGCAGATCTTCTGGAAGAAGCTCTATACAATTTAAAATACAAAGAGGTGAAACACAGAAGAGCCAAGTTCTGCTGCTGATCATGGGTTACTATCTTATTACTTATCACTAATTTCACTGAATTTTACTGTACCACAACAGTGGTGTTTTGTTGATTTTTCTTACTGAGCTTCAATATTTTTCAGAATGAAGTTTCAGAAGGGAATTAGAACAGAAAAATTCACCAGATGTAACAAAGTAAGTCATACCTTGGCCCTGAAGGTGAGAAATGTCCAGGCCCTCCTTGAGGCGAATGACAACTACACCATACTGAACATCAAAGGCATCACTAAACAAAAGGGACAAAAATATTTTACAGCTTTTCCTTTTCCAAATGAAAAATGCACCCTCCCTGAACAAATTCCAGTGATTAAGCACTGCCACTTGAAGTCCCAAATTACAAATTTGCTTTAGAATGTCAGTTGCAATTCCAAAACATTAACTGAACATCATTTTAGGAAAAAATAGTATTTAGAAAGGATACCTATTCCTTCTCCTCCCTCTCTCCACTATGTAAACAGTGATTGAATAAAATTAATGTGAATAGGTCACTCAAGTTCTGCACAAATAGTAAGAAACACCAAGACATACAGATTTTTATCTCCATCCATCAAAAAAGGGATTTGAGTAGATCTCTTTCATCTGAGAACTAAAGATTTCTGATGTCTTTCCAAAACTCTGGGGTATTAAAAACACCTAAGATGATGTAATTTAATATAAAATTAACTGTAAGCTAGCTATAATGTGCCTAGCCCCATTACATCTGATAAAGCTGAAACTCACTCCAGTCAAAAATAAAGAGGCAGAACTTCATTACTGTAGAAAAGAGCAAAAACCCTGAATAAATTGGAGAAAAAGTAGAGTAAAATTAGTAATAATCCCACCCCCAAAATATAAGACTGGAAAAACACAAACTTAACCACATCACACAGTTTGCATTAGACATGAATCACCACCCTTTACATACAAATAGCTTGTTCATTACAACCATAAATCAGACAACTCCCTCCCATATCATTTCCATAGACAGAAATTTCTCAGGATTTCACTAATTAAACTCTTCCCTTTAGAAGCAGTAAGACTTGATTAGAAATGTTTGAGGTATCAATGTAGTCTATAATAAGTGCAAGAAAAATTGAGGTTGATTTACGATTTGTTTTGTCTATTAGTGAATATTTTAATTTCATTATTTAATGTGTTAGATTTGTAGAGATTAGATGTGTTTCTATTGTGTGCTTCAGAAACTTTTAGTTTTCCAGAATTACATTTGACCTGCAGTTATTACCTCCTGAGGTTTCTTTAGGGATGTGGAGAACCACATGACTTGCTGACCTTGACAGATCTTCCTGCAAAAGCCATCCCAAAATAAAATAGGAAAAAAAAAGAAAAACTAACCAACGTGTTTCCTTATTTTTCCACTGTATTTGGTGCCCCTGCTTTTCTCAAGACCTGGGTGAGATGACCTTTTTTTGTCCTCTTCTAATATCTGCCTGTAAAGCCTAAAGCCTCATCCTCTCTCTTTTAAAAGCATAGAAAATGAGAAATACAAAGCAGAAAGGAAATGGGTGAACCAGCACTTCAGCCGAACACAAAAACCTCTGTGTAAGTAAAATAAAGATTGTTTTATTTTCCTTAAGTATTTGGGTAGCAGCACAAATTACTCCATTAAATTTTTCAGCCACAACTGGTATGCTTTTCAATACTGTCAAGTTACTCTGGGATTTCCTTTCTCTTCTCCTTTCTGTATTTGCCTGGGTGTCAGGGCTGTGGGTCTTGTGAGTGAAATATTTCTCCTCCTTTTTGGACAGCAGCTCCCAAACCTCAGACCTCTGCCACAACTCTTTTAGATATAGAAACTTATTATGGAGATTTCTAATCTGCTTAAACTACAAAGACTTGCTTATTAATTTCAATTTTAGAAAAAAACCCCAAGGTATTAAAGACTTCTGAATGGAAAATCTAGGTCCACTTGAAAGAGACTTCATGTAACCAAGATCTTTCTTACTACCAAACATACTGAAATGGAACATAGCAGCTAAAACTTTTTATTTTCTACTTACTGGAATAAATTGATATAAGTTTCAACATCTCTCATATCACCTTGTCTCCAGTTTTTCTTAAATCCAACAACAAGGGTGTTAGGTCTCATTCTACCCAAACCAGCAGCCTAAGAAGAACAAGAAATATTTTATAACATGACATGTTAATGACACAACTAAAGGCTCTATTTTCTGCTTAAAATAACAATAAGGTAACTTTTCATCAAAGCTTTAAGGTAATTTTGCAAAAGGAATGTATTTCAAAGTATAAAGCCCCTTCTGATTTTGATGTGCATCTTGAGCAGTTCAACTTATTTTTTTTTAAATACCTGCATTAAGTATTGTCCTCCATCCCTCAAGTCCTCTGCATGCACTGGTGCATAGAAAGCTTTCATCTTGTTTTTTATTAGCCATCGCTGATATTTAGCCAAATCAGTTGACAGCTCCTTCATGGCTTGCCTCCGAGGACCCTTTCAAAAAAAAAGGGAACAGTAAGATGGGAGGGAACAAGAATCAGGAATATGAGTAATGGGAGCAAAACAGCCCCTCCCAATTTTTTAATGTCACTGCTAGAAACTAATTCGAACTCAGAGAACCTCAAAACATGCTTGCACACTATCAAAAACACCCCAAACCACAAAATACCAGGCATTGTCAGCAGCAGAAACTGGGAAACTTTTACCATTTTAAGTAAGAGGGTTGCTCAAACTTTAGCAATTTTGTTCCTGCAGAGCACAACCCTCTTCCCCAGGGGGTGGCATAAGCTCGTCTTCCAAAGCATTAACATAGTTTAAAAAGAAAAGGGCTTTGTAAAGAAATATACACAGATGCAGGATGACTTCATATTACACTTTATGGCAGTGTTTGTATCTTGCAGTCAAAGTCACCTCCTCTTTAAATACTTCCTTTATGTTATTTCTGTTGGGGTGAATCTTTTGTGCTCCTCCAAGACATCAAAATGCAGAACACAGGACGAGGTATAAGCAAGAACACAGCAGCCCAGTTTTTGCAGAAGGACACAGACTCAACCAAATGGTCAAAGCTACTGAAGAATGAGGTAGTGCCACCCTTCCTCTAAGAAAGTAATTTTAAATAGGGAAAGGATATGCTCCCCAAAAAATCTTCAGAGTTGTTTTCCTACAAGAAGGATGACAGCACCTTATTATTTTCTGTATAGCCCTACAAAGGTAGTGATTGTATCTGTGATATCTCCCTAGCATTACTCAGTTTGTCCTTCATATTCACTGAAATATTAAGTTTATATAGCTGTATGTGGACTGCATTAACCTAATTTGCTCTAATCTATTCATTAGATTAGAAGCAAGTCACACTCGGTAAGTGTATTAAATTTAAACACATTTAGGAGTATCCCTTGTTTTTATTCAGCCTTTCAGGTGTGTCACTGTACCTGCAGCTAAATGGAATTTTTGGTACAGATCACTCTATGACAGCCACCCTACATCTCAATCAGCACAACTCATGTCAAGATGATTTTGAAGGGAAGTTACTTGAAAATTGCTTCCTTCCCAGCATCACAAAACCACTCAAGTTTGCCACAAAAGACACTAAGTAGTAAAAACTGTTAGAATTATATCCTTGCAGAATCACCCCCACAAAACCCCCCCCTGCAAAAACTTCCTCACTTGATATTCTGACAAAAACACCCAGGGATACTTAGTGAAGTATCAGGGGCTGGTCAGAAGGGGAAGAGGAAACACCTGACAATTAAATTAGTCTGATAAGTGAAAGAATAAAACGCTATTTGGAAGGTTAAAAGCGATTTTTAGCTATTGGCTAAACTGATACTGACTTCCCTGCTCAAGAAATTTCTTTTCTCCCAGGATTCTTAGGAACTCTACAAGGGAATCGATCTCCCAGTGTTCACTTCCATCAGAAGTAAAAAGTCCTTCAGCATTTAAGCATCAAATTATAAAGGTACTGAGTTTTTTACAAATTTTCCCCCATAGTACACCTAACTGGAATAAATGCATAATTTGCCTAAATGATTACCTATACATAAGCAATACTTACCAGTACATCTCTTTGTGCACTTTTTAGTGTCTAATGATGCTTTAATTAAAAAAAAAGCCACAAAAAACAAATCCAAAATAAATAAGCAAACCAAAGCGTAAACATAAACCAGAAACAAATTCAAACAGGTTAAATCAACCAAACCAAACCCCAAAGCAGAGAGGAGAAAACCACCACCAAGATAAATTTATAAAGTAAAGACAGAATAAACTTACCATATGTACATGGCCACAGATCATCAAGCCCACATTCTTGGTGAAAGCATGGACAAGGTGAAGCAAAGCTGGACGTGCATTGGGAGCCCCTGTCATAATTAAGCACTGAGGTCTAGAATTATGAGGGGAGAAAAAAATGAAGATTGGAATTAGAATTAATCTTTTTTATTAACAGAAAAGTTTCTTCCTAATACTAGCCATAACAACATATTCATCACTGCAAATGTAATAGCCTCATCCACTTCTATGAGACTACTTAAGAAAAGATCAGTTGTTACCCAAATGTCAGCAGATCTATGACTAATTGCATAAAAATTCAGTAATCTTATTAAATTTGAAAATCTACACATTTAAGAAGTTCAAGAACAGATTTTAGACAAGGCTAGGTCAGAGGGATTAAGTTTTTCTTCCCCACTGGTAAATCACATCCCTTGAATTTTGTAGCTTAGATTCTTCTGTGCCCAGCAGAAATACTGGAATCATAAGCTCATTTTTGCATTACTTTCCTTCAGAAGGCAGAACTAACCTAGTGCAAGGAAGTCAAAGGCAACTTTTAAATATATTTTAAAAGAGGAAGTGTCCAAACTTCAAAACTCATTGCAGGCCATCATTATTCAAAATCATAATACATAATATCATATGAATTCCCTAAAGTAATCTCCCTCAATAATCTCTTTAGCTGCTCCACTTCATTTTCATGGATGCTTTGTTGAAAACCAGGTTGCTGCCAGGTTCTTCATAACCTCAGAGGATGGCAATTGTGCTAAGAATCCCACTCAAATCTGTAATTCCATCTACTTGGATGTATCACAGGAGATGAAACATGGAATTTTGGAAACCTTAACAGCAACACTCGTGCTAGTGAACACAGAATTCCCTGTCTTTAAGTGTCACCTGAAGTTTTTCACATGATCTTCCACTCCTGAGAGCCGAATGGAATGCTGCAGTGCGTTCAGGTAAGTCAAGGCTTGAGTTGAGGATCCCCAGTTCACATCTGTTCAAAGATTGGAGTGTGCATTATTATTTACAGCTGTCCACTGTAAAACTGCATGATCACAAAATGAATGCTAGGCACTGACTAAACCCACTAGTTAAGCTACACCTTGCTACATTTTATCCAATACTAGTCAACAAACCCTACAGCTTAATAAGAAATTATATTTAAATATAACTTTTTCTGTAGAAGTTTCAGCAAGAAGGTTAAGGAAGGGAATATCTGACTTTTTTATCCCCACATTTCGAAGACCATAACAGCTTCACAGTCAAAAGATTACCACTTGAGGAAAAAATGCTGAGTTATTTTATACCACAGCAAAGGAAAAACTGTATCTCAAAACACTGCCTTAAAGCCAGTTACATTCAGTGACAATCTGCTAGATTAAGCAGATCCTTTCAGATTATTATTTTTATGAGGAAAAGGAACACTCCACTATCATCTTTTTGCTCCCACACATATCTCTTGATACCTGCAATGCATTTACCATTTTCCATATCCACCTTTTCCTCCAATTCTCATTTGGACATTTATGCCTAAGTGATACCTTCATAATATGGGAGGAGGGGGAACAGCAGTGACTACGCAGGCAAAATTCCATTTAATTACAACAAAAGAAATCTGTCTAGTGGTCCAAACAGAAAGAAGTTGCTGGGGTTTTTCCCTGGCAAGACCATCACTTTTTCCCTTCCTTCCCCCCTTTAAAACCAAAAGAAGCCCCTACACATACCTGGTTTCTTGTAAGTGACATAGATGTAAAGCCCAAGGACTATGACATAGGTTAGAAGTGCTGCCCACCAGTTAATGACAAACATTACAATGCAGCACAGAATAGCTCCAACCAGAGAAATCCACATGTTGTAGTATTTGAAAGCAGGGCGCCAGCCTAGCCAAAATTTTGGAGGGTAGAAAAAAGAGGGGGGGAAATTAATTAAAACAACACTACAAGAGAAGGAAGGCACTGCAATTTTTTTCCTTCCCTTGTATTCTGCATCCATTCCATGTGAACACATGAGTCTGAGTGAAGCAAAAAATGCAGACTGGCACATTTATGCTTTCCATTTTCCAACACCTTTCAGATGAATTTATATCTTACAGATATGTAAATGCTCCTAATTTTGCCCCCTAAGAGCACAGCTCAGAAGGGAAGTTTGAGGATGTCTGTGGCAGTATGTCTGTTCAGTCAGGCTCCAGGAACCTTCACCAATAGCCTTGCCTGGCATTCAGTTTCTCCTTTCAAAGGTAGTAAAGCATAAATCATTGTCTCATACTTCAGTTTCTTACATACTACTCTTCTTAGTTGTGCACTTTTACTGCTTTCACACAGAAATTCTCACTAGATTAAAAGGAAAGGTATAATCCAAACAGAACTTGGGTACATCAAAATATTGGACTGCCAGTGTTTTACATTTTTTGCCACAAATTTATCCAAAATCAGGTATACACAAGCACACCTCCATGAACACATCCAAAATTAACCAGTGTATTGGATTATTAAAGTTACAACTGCTGTGCAAACTGTTATACCCACCCTCTGAGAAGAAAAAAAATAAATCTACCAGTAACTTAAGAACCTTTCAAGGGAGTTACTCCAAGTGCAACTGCATGTGGACTGGGTATAATGTACATCTGTTCTGCAGATACCAGGTTTTGGCTTATTCTTGTAATTTAACCAACCTCCCACACTAAAGACCATAAAAATGTGGCAATGCCACCAGCAATGCCTGTTTCTTCTGAACTGGAAGATGAAACACATTAACAGAAACTGAAGACAACAAAAGGGTGGTTTGACAGCACCAGCTATTGAATTAGCAAAAAAGCTTTCTTCCTGAGTTTCTGAATGAAGTCTGAATTATCTTGTGGTCCCTCAGCAAAGATGACAAAATTAGTAGCCCTCAAGCCCCACTGGATCACCCACTTCTCAAAATATCAGAAGACCCATGAATACAACATACTCAGCTTTTAATACCATGAGAATCAAATATGAATCTAATAGTTTAACTAAACCTCTGTTTATTTTCAAATCTTTTAAACTGTATTTATGCATAAAGGAATTGCAAGGCTGACCTCCCACCCCTAAAACGTAGTTGTTCCTACCTGGAGATTTTGCAAGAGAAGCATGGAATACAGAGAAGTTAATCAAGGCATATGAGGCCAAGAAGAAATTAGAAATAATTGGAGCAATGACATTCAGTTCAGCTGTAAAATGGGAAAAAAAAAAAAAAGGCAAGCTGTTATCAAAGGTATCATCCAATGGCTTTGCAGATTACAGAGTAAAAATTCTGCTACAAAGAATCTTGTTTTCTGATATACTCTAAGGAAATGCAGTGTACCCTTTTTGCTGACAGAGCTTTATGTCAATGATCTCCTATTTACTAAATTATATTTTAACAGTTAAGGAGTGCAGCTTTCAGTTTCAAAAATATAAGCACTACCAAGTGTTTTAGAAGCACCCTAGAAGCACTACATTCTTTCTCAAGATCATTAATTGAGAAAATTTCATTCCCAGCAGGGCTTGGATCAGTGAACAAACATACTGGGTTCTGAAGAATGCCAGAAGATTTTAATGCTATAGACCAACACCATCACAACAGTGATGCTTACATCCTTTTCAGTGAGAGGGAAAAACCTGATACTCTCTCCTCAAGGCAGCATGGTACAAAACATTTGTATGTGTACTCTCACCACCATTAAAACTTTAAAAAAAAGTGATCAAAATGCAGATGTGCCATCCTAGTCTGCAAGTTTCTACTTGGAATCAAGCTTCCAGTCAGCATGGGTCAGTAGGGACTCCATGGGTGTATCTCTGCCTCAAGCAGATGTGGAGGAAGGAGGACAGAGCAAATTGGGAAAAGAAGTTTAAAGCACTGGCACAGGACTCATAGATGGACACAGCACAATTAGTTTGCCACCTGCAGTGAACACATGTAATTAATTATACCTAGACAACCTTCAGCAACAGCAGTGTCAGCACTCAGCTTTACCATTTGTGACTTAACAGAAAAGCACATTTTAAACAGTGTTGCTCATGAAAGTTTGTATTTTACTGAAGCTCTCTGTCATTATTAAAAATCTGAAATGAACTTTCATATTTACAGGGAGTTGACACTGCCTCAAGCAAAGGATGTATTTCTATTGACTGATAGCACCTAGAGACAAATACCTATGGTTAAAAAGAGAAGTGCAGTTAAAATTTACTGCAGTTCTTGACAAAGTTGTTATCTAGAAGATAGGAGAAAGTAAGCCTCAAAATAACCAGATTTGCTGGCTTAGAATTAATCTGTGCATTAGATCTCTAGTACCCTGTCAACAAGTTCACAGCATTTATTGAAATGCTTTCAAAAGGACAAAAGGAGATTGAGATTTACTGAAATTTCAAACTAACCAATTAGTATGAATCCAAGAGCAATTAAAAATGTTAGAATATATCCTCTCAGTGGTTCATTGTTCTTCCCATAGCCTTTAGCAAACATCTGAAATCCTGGATAAATGCTGTCCTTGCACAAAGCCTAAGAGGAAAAATAATAATAAAAAAATAAATCAAGGGTCAACATGCATTTTGCTCATGCCATCTTCCATTGCATACGATCTTTCTGAACATTTACTGATAGTTTATAACCATCATGGAACTAATTACATTCTCAACTGTTTTTGCATCTTGACATTTTGCGTTTCCACTATTCTATCCTTCAGTAATGTGCACCTGCAAGAAGCAGCTTTGCTCTTTTGTAATTAACTGTCTGTTTTACTTGACTACTGTCTTACAATCACAAAATGTCTCTTTTTACAGACCTTATTTTCTAAGGAAGTGAAAACTTTGCCCAATATACACACTAGTTCTCTGCATCAATAGAACTGATTCCCACCAAACTTTTTTTAACCCAAATAAAGACAGAGAAGGAGATTCAATAGTTAAAAATAAGGTAAAAGAAAACACACTCAGGAACCTCAAGTAATGGTAACAACTGTTCTCCCACTCTAAACAACAGGTAAATATTAGAACAAATGGCTGATGTCATCTGATATGGATTACAATGGCAGTATGTCAGAGTCCCCTTCCAAAAACAATGACTCAAAATTAATCATTCTTCAAAGTATTGCTGTTTTCTTCCCTTACTTACCTGGAAGATCTTAGGGGCACTCACAAGAGATGCTAATGCAGATGACAGGGTGGCTGAGAAAATACCTGCAGAAATCAGTGGTGCAAATCCTGATACCATGCTCATGACCTGAAAAACAGTAATTTTATTTTTTTTTTAATATGTGAAAAAGTACACTACACAAACAGATGGCACCATTAACTACACAAAGAGAAAAAAAAAGAATACTATGCACTCTTCACTTAAAAGCTGAGTATCATACATTCATATAAATGAATGAGCTAGGCACAGATCAGGGAATATAAATGCATCCTGATCTCAGGACGAGATGGTGGCTTTTCACACAATGTATCTATAATTTGAAGCTCAAATTATCAAGGGCAGAAGCCTTCATGGACTCCTAAGAAGATCAGGAGGAAGTAATGGAAGAAAAATACTTTGGAATGTGTTACATATTTCAACTAACCTATTGCTGACTAACATGGTCTCAGAAAGCCCAAGTGATTAAACAAGTGGGGAAACTGGGGAACATCAATGAAAGTTCATTGTCTTTTGTCATAATCTTCATCATTTTAAGTTAGGCTTTTTTCCCCAGTCAAAACCACAAGATCAAGACAAACTTGCTTCCTATCTCCCCAAGATCAAATCCCAGCACATCTCTCTAATGTCAGTGACAGAAGTCAAACATGCAATCCTCGATAAGCTGGATGAGTAATGAGCTGATGCCCTCCAGTACCTCAAAGGGATTTTAAAAAAGAAGGAGCTTATAAAAAGTAAATGCCATCCATGTCCATGGCATGTGAATTAGAAGATCTTCTTTAAGGTCCCCTGCAACCTAAACCACTCTATGACTCCACTGTTCTACTGATTATTTCTGTACCACAGCTGCATCCAGCTTTGCATCTGTCATGTGAATTAAGATACACAACTGTGTAATTAAAAAACATTCACAGTTTAATTGAATATTTTTCTTTACAGAAAAAAAAAAAGCCAAAGTTGCTTTAAAACAGCCATTGCTGAAGAATTTTAGTCAACAGACAAAACCTAGCAGGGTGTTTTTCAAGTACAATGTGGCTCTGCATCATCTGCACTGCTTACTCACCTTTTTCACCCTGGAAATCTCATTTAAATTTTCAGCAGAGCAACTGAAGGAAGGCAAGAAAAAACATACAGAAGTCTACTGTTTTAAAGTTACTGTCACCTGAAATTGCAAAATCTTGCCTAAATAAATCTTACTAAGTCAGATCCTCTCAGACATAATGTATAGATGATTGATGAAGTTTTGTTCATTAGGGCTAGTGAAAAAATGGCAAAATTTAGTGGATTTCTGCTGATCAGACTGATAAAGACTGCTGGGTCTCTCAGTCAGCTGAGTCTGTGCAGTACATCAGGTTTCACTGGTTAGTTCAAGGCATGCCTTGCTTGAGATTTTAATAAACAGAAGTTGCAAACAACAAGAGTGAAGTATCTGTCAGAGTAGTGTAACAAATAAAGGAGAGAATTTCCTGAAGCCTATTTGCAAGTTTATAGAAAGAAAAAAAGGCATGCCAGGCCTATAATCACCGAGAGTAAAACTAACAACACATCTATTAAGCTATCTCTCCAATGCCCCAGTTTAATTTAAGTTTATGAGCAACAGAAAAAGTTACAGCTTTACAAGGAACTTTCCAATAAGCCTACATTATGTTACAGAATAAAACTTAAGGGTGTAAATGCTTTCCTATGACTGTAGAAACTTTTGCTACAGCAACATAATAAACAGGTGCAGAATAATTTTTACAGTAACAATATGTAATTTTTTTTCCCTGACATGGATGGCATAATCAAGCTTCCCTCATTACAGAGGAAATCTGTGTACAGGTCTCCATCACTCTTCTTCCCATATGTAAAACATTTTTAGTTTGATGCCTTCACTTTATTACGCTTGCCTCAACTTATTTGCTTGTGAAAACAGATTCATATTTTACATTCTCTTTCTAGGTTCTGTTCAATGCCTCCAATTACTTACACTGTTTTTTGCCTATTACACGTTTTATTTTACAAATGTATTCATTTATTTTACAAAGTTGAGAGATACCCCAGCAAAGCATATACAATTAATATTTGACATTTTAAAAGATTGCAAGTTATGCCTCAGGTTAAGAGACTTTAGGAAGCTTCTCTAAGCTAGGAGAATACAGGGGGAACCAGATCCAGCAGAATCAGTGTGATGTGGTGCTGAACTCCCCTCCCTCCATCCCCAGCACAATCCAGACCTCCTGACCACAAACCAGGGAGCCCACAAAGGCAGCCACCCATAGCACTGACATCTTCATCCCTACAGAACTCTGGAAAAAAGGGGCAGAGTGGACCTGTAACCACTGGTGTGTTGCCACAGACATACAGTTCCTGCTGATAAGGAACTCAGTGTGTTTGCCTGCCATTTACAGTTAAGAGAGTTTCCCAAATTTCAACCATTTGGGATCATGAAATACTGTATTTTGCACATTTACCTCCTTGGTTCAGCACACAGGAGCAAACAAATGAGTCTCATGCTACTTTAAACCTTCATCCAAAGTTGAAATAAAAAAAAATCTGCATTTTAATTACCAAAAGCTCTAACTTTTTGCTAGGAAGCTCTAGGCTGATGTTATAGAGCACAGAACAAATTTTTGAAAATATTCTTCTTCCAGGTGACAGCCTGGGCACAGAATAACCACTGACACTGACCAGATGTATCAGAAGCCTGTGAGGACCTGTAATTCACTGACTGTAAGAAAACCTAAAGAAGGTCTTCCTAGGTAGGTTTGACTGAGCCTGTCTCACCTATTGTCCTCATTTAGAGCTTCTCATCTTAAGATTTCCACAGGTAAATCATACTACAAGGCATCCATCTGCTGCCTGAACACACCCAAACCCTGAGCTGCCCCAGCAGAACTTCAGATCAATTCTTTGTCAGAAGAAGTGAGAGCAGCACAAAGTGTCCTGAAGCGATAAAGCCATTACACTGTGAACACAAACTGGCACTTTCAGCCCCAAAACCTCCCTGTTTACCAGCTGGAATAGAAATACAACAACCATCTTCCCTCAACTCAGGGATTAATTTTAATTTGTGCAGTATTTGTTCTGTTATTTACAGAAAAGAGATTAAAGTTTGAGCTTGAGAAGTGCACAAGCTTGGACACTCCCCTTCTCACACATACCATGCTCTGCATATGAAAAAAAATAATCTCACCTAACAATCAGAAATACCAACTTGTGAGCAGTTCAGTTATGAACTGGTCAAGTTTCTCGTTAGATAAACAGCCTCTCATACAAATATTTTCCTTCTGACACCTGCTGAGAACAGAATCAGACTCTTCTCAGAAATGCACAGCAAAAGCTAAGAGGGTGAGAGAAAAAACAGCAAGGGAGAGCCTCACTGGGTATTAGAAAAATGAAATTTCACATAGAAGGTTTCCAAAACTACAACAAAGCAGGGGGGTGTGAGGGGCACTGCATTCTCTGTGCTGCCTTTGGCCTTAAAAAGTGACTTTTCCTAATTGACTCTTTTTTCCACAGAGAGAAGCAAGAATAATTTGGGAGGCAGAAATACTCTGTAAGTACAAGTAACATTTATGTTAAGAACCTTACAAAAGTTATGACTTAAAGACAACCAGAGGAAACCAGCTACAGGCTATTCACAGCTGTACATCTGAAAATATGTTGGTTCTTTTGAGCTTAAACAATCAAAGCCATCAGATATTTGCAAATTTGACAATCCCACAAGAGCAATTCCAACTTTCCCTGAACAACAACAAAGTTAACATGACAAGATAGTCACATTATTTCACTATAACAATTTCATCAGTGTTTTTCAGCTCAATCTCTGGCTCAACTTTTTCTGTACCTGTTAGAAAAACTTTTGGCAAAGATGGTACTACCACAAAGCAGTCTGGAGTCAGTGGGCAGTAAGCTCATTTTCCCTGGATTCTTTCAAACCCTCACCAGTAGTTCATGAACAACCCAGCTGGCTGTGGTGAGACTATGAATTACCCCTTAACTTGTGGAGGATTTTTAAATACTGTAACATCATTTTTAATTAAAGTTCATGACCTTATTACCATTAAAGAAGATGCTGTGATAAACACGTAAACCAGCGTATTTTCTAAAAAAACTTTAAAATTTAGCAAGAAAATTACTGACAGATACTACTTATGATTACTCAGCATCAATACTGAAAAATGAGTATATCTACCCCTACCAGTGAATGATGGCATTCAGGTACCTAAAGAAAGCTGTAGCACCACCACCTAAATCTAAGCAATTTGCTCAGAAGAAGTGTAAATATTTATACCACCTGCATATAAACACCTAAGAGTTTTCAACATGTATACATTCTTTTGCATACCAACTAGAGTGTACCATGCACCTAACATATTCCAGATAAAACTTGTATTTATGGAGGTGAATATTTAGCCTATGGCTTATCCTATTAAGCAACTTAAAAAACCCCAAGCCAGCAAATCCAAGGAAAAAAACAAACCAACCCTGTCAAAACAACAAAAAACAACAAATCCAAAAAAAATCCCCACCTGCCCAACAAGAAAAAAAACCAACCCAGAACCATCAGTAAACAAAAAACCAACAAAATCCCCCCCAAAAACCACCAAAAAAACCCCACAAAAAACACCAAAAAACCCCACAAAAACCAAAACCAACCAAACAAAACACCTAAACCAACCAACAAAAAAAAAACAACCAACAAAAAAAAAAAAAATACAAAAAATCCCCCAACCCAAACACAAAACCAAACATAGAGATTAAGGAGGAAGTTTTATACCTGGAAATTGTTCATCAGCCCATAGTGACACCCTGGCCCTGCCTGAGAGTGGCAGGATGAGAAGTCATAGTTTAGTTTGCAGGCTGCAGTAGTGCAGTTTGTCAGCTCGGTGACAATGGTGTCATTAACGTTCCCTGTGGCATCTCGAACTACACAGGAACCTACAACGGACACAACAATAAAAAAAAAAAGCTTTAACAAACTGAACCAGAATTTAAGGATATGTGTTAATTCCTTTTTATAAAAGCATAATCTCACAGAGCAACATTAAAATAACAGCATTTGGTTTTTTAACACATTACAGTACTAAGCCTAGCTTCACTATGAAGAATAAATACAAAAAACAAAGGCTCCCTTGGCTGAAACAATTTTTAGTTTTTTAAAATATTTGATTGTAGGAAGAAACAAAAAGTTTTAGCACAGAGGAAAACTATGTCAGTAGACTTGCAAAAGTTTAAGAACACAATTTTAGCTTAAAATACTATTTCTCTGAAGTGTGAGCTTCGAAATAGCTCCTGAATTGAAGTCAGTATTATAAAACAGCACTTGATTTGACAGGACTGGCACAGAGCAGAGCAGCTGGGGCTGACCCTGCATCCCTGGAAGTGTCCAAGGCCAGGCTGGACAGGACTTGGAGCAGCCTGGGACAGTGGGAGGTGCCCCTGCCCATGGAAGGGGTGACACTGGATGATCTTTAAGGTGTCCTCCAACCCAAGCCAATTTATAATTTTTTAACTTTATAGTTATAATTTTATAACTTTATACTTTCTCTTTTGGTCATTTTTCCTAGAGGAGTGCAGATTTGTTTTGTGTGTATAAATGTTTGCAGACAGGTACCATTTCTGTTGCAGCTGGTTTTTTCTGTCAATCTGATTCAGCCATTAAAAAAAAAAACTAAGTTTCATGAAAGCCTGTTGCAAGCCATGTCCCAATATTTAAATAAGCCATGCCCTATGTGACCATGGTATTCTTCAGTTGGTTTCTTGGTGAAAAACAGAGTACTATTTCTCCCACATTCTTTTATAATCATCACCTTAACTACTGTCTTCAGTTCCATCTATGATTCTTTTTAATTTGGAGAAACCAGCATTTCAGCCTGTATTAATAAAAACTAAAGAGTACTAAAATACCACTAAGTTTTCAAGGTTTTTTTTTCTCATATATGACAAAAAGTAGATCAGCCTAAGTATTATTTAACATTCTGTGGTCTAATAGTAAAGGTAATCAAACTGTTTGAACACTGGGAAAATATCTCAAGGAACAGGAATTAAACAAGAAGTGGGGAAAAGCCTACAGAGTTAATAGAACTCCCTTATTTTAATCTTTTAGGAACCTGAATGACAAGAACTGCCTTGCAACAGAACCCCATGACAGCTAAGGAAAAATCACTACTTGCAAAGTAAAGAAGAAGGCATAGATCTGCTGCAAATTTAAGTTTATTCAATAATAATCCTAGGCATCTATGTATGTTGTCTCTCTTCCATGGGGAAAATGAATTCCTAATTATCTATAACGTACTTAAATTGTTGTGAGCCATCAGAAGTTGATTAACAGCCCACAGCAACACCTGGTCCCAGCAGGTGGACATTAATTAATCCTACCACTCCTCATTTCTTTTTTAGTTACTTATTATGCCTAATTGGTTAAACTACCAAAAAGTTTCCTATGTTAAACACTTTCTTGTGCCTTTCTTTGTGAGTATTTGGAGGGCTTTTTTATGGTTTTCTTGTTTATCTGGGATTAAAAAGCTCAGTAAGAGGAAAATGTTTCTCCTTCTTCATTACACAAGTATTTACCCCAGCCACTCAAGCAGCATATAATGGATCTGACAACACATTTCTCAGGTGAATTATTTGTAAATAACATTTTGTTGTGACAGATTGCAGTGGCAGGCCCTTTATACTGAACAACTCATTAAATACCTACAGTGCACAATCACAGCCCTCCTCTTCCTCATTTTCTCAAAGTTCAAAATCAGCTGGTTTGGCAGGACTTTCAGACATGGAATCAAAATATGGCAGAAAGAGACAGAGCAGTAGGAACAAACTTAATGTGGGTCTTATTCTGAGAGAATGAAGAACAGAAGCCAGGCAGGCATGCTCTGTTCTCAGCAGAAGACACTTAGATAAAAGCAACAATAATAAATGTTACTTTCTGTAGCACTCATTCAGAAAAAAGCTTCATTTATTTATATGATGCTGGCAGCATTTTCCCTTAAAGTCTGTAGGTCTTGCCTCCCATGAAAATAACATTTCACCTTCTGAGAGGCATTTATAAGTGTGTTTCTGCCAAAGTCAAACAGAGCTTTGCCATGCTTTAAGCATGAGAAAGTTTACAGCCATGTCTGTCATCTCCTTAATATGTGAATTCCAGGGGTATAACAGCCCTTTAGACTGCTGTTCAGAGTGTCTAATTTTACTAGTGCTGTAAACACATACATTTTGGCTCCTGTTGATTAGTTTTAGTTTCATAACTACAGGAAGCAGGTCTTAATGCTACTCAGAACTTCGGCTTTTTTTTTTTTGTTAGAACTTCCTTTGTTTTTAAAGCAATAAATGTTGTTCTTTGAAATGTATCTTCCAAGATTTTTCATGTGAAATTGCCTGTGAAATCTGCCTCCTCATGCCACCTGCATGTCTGCATTTGTCCTTTGCTAAATTATGAAACTGCATACCTATGTCTCCCAGTTATCTTTTTGAAATAGCTGACTAGCTCTAGCAGCAGGATCAGCAATTTTCCTTTTTTCAGCCTTTTCTACTCATTTTAGCCCTCTTACTTAGTACAGAGCATGCAAATAGAGAGGTAAGTTCAGAAGATCTTCCTCTTTCCAGATACAACCGCTCTACCACATTTGCTAGCCCCTTCAAATCTTTAGTGTCTTGCTTACCACTCTTCTGGGAAAGGATCAAAAGTTTTGTAGTTGCCCAATATTCCTAATCCAATGCCTCAAAAGCAGCTAAATTTCACCCCATCTCCAACTCCTGATGCCTTTTTTCTAACTAGCAGAATTCAAAGCTTAACACAGCAGAACATTTCTGATGAATCAAACAATTTCACGTCCAGTTGGTTTTGCAAACTGCTTCTTTTGTCAACTTTTATATTCCATTTCTCATGTTTGGAAGCTGGTCAAAGTGTCCCATTAATAAGCAAGTATTAACAACAATTTTAGTCTTGTGTAGGCTGAGGTTCCAAAGGACTCAAATTTGGTAGCAAGAGGTCTACACAGTCAATTTAATTAGGAAATGAGTGTAGCCCATTATGCTGCATAAAGCACAATCACTACAGAGCAACTATTTGGCAGAGCTACACTCCCACGTTAGCCAACAGTGGCAGACTAGCAAGATTGGTATCTTTGGAAAGGAAGTATCATTAGTGGTAAGATCAATGGTACTCTTGTAAATGAGAATTTTCATTCAAAAAGCACCACAACTATTATAAAACAAGGTCTTTCATGTTAAGAAAAATTATTATGCTGTCAGAAATTGGTTTGTATGACTATGTGATTTCCAATCACAGGCAAGAAACGCGCAGGATTCAATTACAATCCTGTAATCTTAAGGTTAATATAATTACTTGATGTGTGGGAAAAACGTAGTTAGCCACTGGTGCTCTACAGCAAAATTGGTATCAACCCCAAGGTGACTTCTACAGAGGATTTCAAACAACTGTGGGGTGAGAAAGACTAGGAAGAAAAGACTCAGATCAGTCTGTGATTATTTCTCCTCTTTACACGAGAACATGACACTTTCAAAAGTGGGCTGGGAGAACTGAAGGCCTTTCTTGGTCTCCACCCTCAGCTGGGGAATTACTGCTGAAGCATCCTCACCACAGTCCTGTCTGATCATCCCTCAGCTCACTGCAGGTAAAGGGCTGATTACCATAATCCTCAAAACAATACAGGTGTTTTTTCAGTGGGTATTTCCTGAAAACATGCTTTTCTAATCCAGGGATTATCCCACTGCTAAACTGTAAATCCTTTAATGTAAATAACCACAACAATTGAGGAAACACCAATAGAAGTCTTTTGTCATCTTTAGTCTGAAGCAGTCACTTCTCTTAGAAAAGCATCAGCCATTTCACAAAATTATAAAACCACCTGAAAACAATCTCCCAACAGTAAAAAGCAGAAACCTTTGGCTATTACTTTCCCGTGTCAATTACACAACAACTTTACATAATCAAATTACATAAAACCGTATCAAAATACACCCTCGGAACGAACGTGAAACGATAAAGTTAAAAACATTCTCTATTTACCTACAGATACTGCAATTCCTACGTAAACCAATGTAGTGATTAAGATGGCCAACAGCGTTCCTTTAGGTATGGCTGACTGAGGATCCTGAAAGAAAAACGTCAGTGGACAGTGATGACAGAGGTCAATGCACACTCGAGTGGTTGTGAAGAATGCTTTTAATTCACCACTTACCGCAAGGTCCCCCGAGATATTTGCACCAGCAAGTATGCCAGTTGCAGCGGGGAAGAAAATAGCAAATACAGAAAAGAAAGTTTCTTCTTGTCGGAAATCCGGTCCAAAGTTCTCCATGAATATGTCGGCTGCGGGAGAAGATTTAAGTCGGTCAATATTCACATGGAAGATGAAGTATTTATTAGCCCATTCCAGCCACTACCAGACCAATAAAAAAACTGACACAGGAACTTCTTAAAACTAAATATAGAACATTTAAGCCCCAATTCATCACTTCAACTCAAAGTCCGAAAGTAAAATCTAGCTTTTTAAAACTTATTATATATTCAATATTAAGCAATATTCAAGTTTTGACCCAACTACAGAAATCTGAAGAAATCAGGAAAAAAGTCTCCATAGTTAAGCAGGACTATAAGGTATATTAGATATTTAATTTAATTTGTAACAGCTTATTTTGCAAAAAAAAGGTACTGTTTACCATACTGTAAACTGTTCCAACATACCATTATAACCAAAGAAACCTTTGGGCTTCTTGCTGTCCAGAGGAATAAATGTTCCAATGACAAAGTCTCCAATAGCAATTATGAGGATCACCAGCAGGACTATCTGTGCCTGAAACACAATGACTGCTGTCAGAAAGGAGGACTTGTTCTTTTCACACTATCAAGTGCTGTGCTATAAAATGTAAATGTTTACTTGATTCCAAATTCAGCTTCACCTTCTCAGAATGTTCTCTGCAAAAAAATGAGGAAAGCTGGAGAGAACGTGTACAAGGATTTAAAATTAAGAAGAATAATTTCCATGTTTTATGCCTAATCAAAAAGGTTTGTTATTACCAAATGCCTCAAAATTATACTTCTAAAGAAAAAATGCTTAGAAGGACTATTTTCTCTATATATAAGCATTCCAGAAGGAATGCATTTGAAGAGATTCAAGAAAGTCACTTGAAAATAGCCAAATGCAACTAATGCATTATTAGCCATGGTCATAGTTTGTCTTATACTTTAGATTGTGATATTTTCTAAAAACTTTATTGCATCCAGAATCGAACAGCTTTTGTTTCCTATTTTATGCAAGGAACTAGGTTATTTTGCTACACTTTCATGTTCTCAACCCTTACTTAGGAAATTAAATTGCAAACTACAACTACTTGCTAATTCCTAGTTTGGAGACTTCTTTTATTACAACGTAGATTTTTAGTCACTTTTCCACTGAATTATTATAAGCCCCACAAGTTGAACAAGTACTTTAAAACATCCAACACCTGAAAAGTGTGAACAAAGATCTGGGCACTGTAGAGATGGTTCCATTTAAATAAACAATGACACAGCTGTTATCTTTTGGGTTAACATTTGATTCCTTAGAAAGGAATGCCAGTAGCTTGGAGGAAGCCATTCACAGACCTCTTTTAGGCCTAGAATCATGAGTTAAAATTCAGCTCATTGTGGCATTGCTGATGCCTACATAACAAAGTTTTCAGTTCACACAGCCTCTCAAGAAAACAGGGTGAACAGTGATAAACAGAGCAAAACGGCCTGGAGCAGATTTAGAAGTCCACCTGAAGAAAACAGTTTGTGCCCTGTATTTAAATCTTTGTAAAGCCTCAAGGATAGGTGAAAGGTGTAAGGATACAGCTGGGTGCTTACAGAAGTCCTCAGTAAGACAGAAACATAAAGATGAAGTTATCACACAGCAATTGCCACAAGTGGATTTCTCCAGTAATTCACCTAGGCTTCTTCCTGAAGCTAGAGATGTTTGCTGCGTAACTTACTTAAATTCCAAAGTCTGAAAGAATGGGCTCCTAAAACTTCAACACAAAGAGCTGAGCAGTAGACATCACAAACTCTGAAAAACCATTTTTTAAAGCAAATTTCCCTAGAATCAATCCCAGTCTCTCCTCACTTTTAGATCCATTTCTAAGGCATTATTATAGATTCTTATTCTTATAGAATAAGAGACATTACTCTTTAGCTCTGCTGAGCTGTATGTTAGCACACATGAAATACTTGTTTGACAGGTTCAGTTGCCTCTCATTGCTCCCACTTGCCTCTTTCCATGACAGAGAAGCCAGGTCTTGACTTTTACACTGAGGACAGGACTTTTGAAAGCTACCCCTAAAATAAGGATGCCACTGCAGTAATACCATAATTCAGGTTTGATGTAGAAGCATTATTTTTCATAAAAATTATTGTTATATAACTGCTCATGCTACACAGCAAAACCATGATACTCTTTGTGATTTCAAGTGTCAAGAGGCCAGATTAGTAACAAATAGTTCTTTCAAAACAGTTCAGAATAAGGAGATCAGCATGGTTTACAATTGGGTATATAAAGACTGCACAAATTCAAGCTATAGATAGTCGAGGCCTACTTGAGAAAGGTAAACAGTTTTTACAGAAGTTCAATTTAGAAGTTCATGCCAAAATCAGTTTCTTTAAGTTTCTTTTCTCCTCAGCAGACCAAAGCAATGCACTTGATCTTCACTCACTTCTTCTAGGATCCCTATTTCTTGGAAGCAACAATGATTAAAAACCCTCTCTCAATTATCAATACCATCATCTTGATGCAGGAGCATAAGAAACTTACAATACTTCAAGAAGAGGTTCCTTCAGCTACAACAACATTGCCTCTCAGTGCAGAAAACAGGTGCTATTGTGATACAAATATAAGTTGGGAAGGAAGCCCCAGTGATAGGCTTACTTCTCCATTTTTTATTTTTTTTTATGGACAGATACTCAGAAAAAGACTACAAGGTGCAAGAAAGAGAGCAAGCTAAACTGCCTCATAATGCCAAGCAGAAAACTGGTAAGGCAACTTCTCTGTTAAAGGTACTCTTCAGATCTCTTCAGTCAGAGTTGAGCTGAGACTATACAGCCACAAGATGAGGGAAGGAGGTTTTCCCTCCTACATTCATCACCACCAACATTCAAAACCCTTCTCCATGCTGGGTCTAGTGAATGCATCCCAGTGTTTGGCTGTTTCCAGCTGAAAACCAAACCAGAAGAGAATGGAAGAGAAGGGAAGCGTACTGCATTTGAGCACAGATTGGCTTTGGTACCAGCACTGTGTTTTTCATCCTCAAGTTCACAAGTAAGGGAAAATTCCAGAGCTGAATTTCTTACCTTCTCTTGTGGTGTAATTGCCCAGGAGATGGAAATACCATTAATCTACTTGACAATGTCATTAGGAGTGGATTATGCTGGAGTTTAGGTTCTCATAGATGCTTAAGCCTCCAGTGAAGTGGTTTAAGATCTGAAATGCTGCTCAGAACTGCACATGCTAGTGCCAGACCAAGAGCTACTGTATAAAAGTGACTTCTAACATACCATCAAGCAATACTGAATATACTAAAAATAAGCCAGACAGCTAAGGTACAAAAACAGAACCAAAATTATGGAGAAGAGAATATAAAAAAAAAATAAAATATGGGAGTTCCTTACTTTTGCTTCCCACTCCATTCCTGCAATGGAAATGCCCAGCAGTATAACCACTGTGATAGCCCCTATAATTCTGATATCATTCATTTCATCGATCATCAATGTTCCATTTTCCTAGCAAAACAAACAAAAAACACAGAGTCATATACATCATCAGGTAACCACCTTCCCTACTAAAAACCAGCATTCTATTCACTATAACTTACCAGTAGTTAAGCTGCAAATAAGTAGCTAACCATGAATTTACTGATTGTAAATTCCCTTTAAGGACACAAGGAATTTGGGTTTTGCCTTGTTTTTAAATCTATGAATCTTCCAAATGGAAATTATAAGGGCTGCTCAGCCTGGAGAAGGGAGGTCCAGGGAGACCTTACTGCAAATCACTTAATATTTAAAAGGACCTTACAGGAAAGAAGGGAACAGACTTCTGGATAGAGCTTGTGGTGACAGAACAAGGAATAATGATTTTAAACTAAAAGATGGCAGATTTGGACTAGATGTAAGAAAGAAACATTTTACAGTGAGGATGGTGGCACAGAGTGCCCAGAGAAGCTGTGGCTGTCCCTGGATCCCTGTAAGTGTCCCAGGCCAGGTTGGATGGGGCTTGGAGAAGCCTGGGACAGTGGAAGGTGTCCCTGCCCATGGAAGGGACTGGCACTGGGTGGTCTTTAGGGTCCCTTCCAACCCAAACCATTTTGTGATTCTACCTGGATGAGGAACAGACTAGGTGACCTTGAAATGTCTCTTCCATTTTATGATTAGATGAATCAAAAACCAAGGATAATCTTTTAACTTGACATATTAAGTATGTACTTTATATACTCAAATGTTCTATATGAAGTATAGAACTTTATATGTGAAGTATAATCAATATGAGCATTGTCATCCACTGTACCTTGAGTAGCTCAACTACTGTCTCTGCAAAACCAACAACATACATTGCCACTGCCACAGCGTTGGCAAATGCAAAAATCAGACCTATGGCACCACCAAACTCTGGCCCCAGACTTCTGGAAATTAAGTAATATGCTCCTCCTGAAAGAAAAAAAAAATACAAATGACAAAGAAGTCCTCTATATGATAGAGCCCAAAACAGACAGTTATCAGCAATTTAACATTTACATGAGCCAGAATCTACTCACTCTTTATTCCCTGATGTATTAGAAAATAACCCTTAACTCAGTATTTTAGGGACAGATGTGCTGAGGACTCAGGAATGTATTTCAAGTTCTTAGGAAAAGAGACCAGTTGGAAATAACCATGACTCATGCACCACATCATATTATTCAGGTATGCAACCACTTCTATGGTTAAAAAGCTGTAAAACACACGCTGCAGCGTAACTGGGATTTTAACTTCAAACTGCTCAAAGCACTTGTGGAGTCAAGGTCAAGAAACTGGCAAAGCAGACTGCAATAAACCCACTGAAGTTCCAAACTTCCAAGACATGTTTCTAAACTTTGAAAGTTTAGAAACTCTGCTGTTGAAGGAATTTTCTGCCCTCCAATGGGATTCTCGAGAGCCTGTTCTTCGTACTTCTGAGCTGGACAAAAACAACATCTCAAATCCCACATGACAAATGAAAATCTGAGTATCTGGAGTATTACAGCAAAGTAAAGTTTAGTAAATGTAGCAAAGGCATATTTCTCAAACTTAAGTCTAAGCTTCCTAGAAGCAAGAAAATCCTCCAGCTCGAGTCTGAAGTAACTGAGTCCATGTTAAGTTTGCAACAGAAAATACTTAATTTCACTGCATTACACTTCTTGTGCAAATCCTACATATGGACTCAGCTTGGCTATACTCTGTATTTCTTATGAAAAAAAAAAAATCTTAATGTAATATAACATTTTCCTAGGAACAATTGTTTCTATGGAATTCTACAGTTCTTCCAATTCAGTACTTTAAATTTTCTAATGAAGTGTTATTTTTCAAGAGTGGCTTAAAAACAACAACAAAAAAAGTTCCTATATGAATGGGAAAACCTGACATACATAATGGAATTAAAAAACAGAAAAGGCATTTAGAAACTAAGCTTGACATAATGCTAACACTCTCACAGCTGATCTTTCCCATTAGGTCTGTTTACTTTGTGATAGTGAGGCTTTTCATTCTTAATCTTAATGAAGATATTTTTCTAAGTTTCTACATTAATTCCACTATATTTTTTCCTAGCAGCAGTCTCATAATGACACAAAGCACTTTGATTGTGTCAGAGGCACCAACCATTTCCAAAAATAGCTGACAACACCACATAAACCATGGAAGAGAATGAAAACCATCACCCTCAGGAACAGAGAGTTTGGAGAATTATCCGTGTGAAGGTTTATTTCAGGACATGGACACATCATACAAGCACACTCTTAACCAACCAGTGCAGCTCAGGAGAATATTAAGACTCTACTCATTCCTGGATATGTATCCTTAAAAACGTTTGTATTACAAAAATTTACACCAATAAATTTCCTTTTACAGCAGAAAAGCAAGGTACTAGTTCAAACCTAATTAGTAGGCTACCTATTGACTTTTTGTTGATTACATGACTGTTTAATCTCATACAGAACACAAGGAAGACTTTGCTCCTCAGCAACATTAAAGTGTGCACTCCAGAGTGAGGAAAGTTTTAAAAACTTGATGAAAATATCATTACCTCCTCTTACAAACCCATTTGTGGCTATTGCTGAAGTAGACAGTCCTGTAATAGTTGTCACAACAGTGGCCATTCCAATAACCAAGACAGACAGACCTTTTGGGAAAAGAAGTGAAAAAATACTGTAAGCCCAGCAGTATTAAAGAGTACAAACCTTCAACTTAATTTAATTTAAATACTTAGTCTTGCAAATACAACACAAATTCACTTTCAAGCAAGAGGCTGCTTCTTCCCCTCTCAGGATACAAATAAAACTGGATCAAGTCTCTTAAATCAGCAAGGTAAGAGCTATAGTCTAAAGATTAAAGGAAACACAGGCCTTTTGCAGATCAGCCCAACACTAAGTTAAGCCTTTGAAAATAATTCCTTTTTTACTACACAGTCTATATGCAGGTTTTAATAACCAGAGATCAAAAGTTTATCTTCACAGTTCCACTGAAGACTTACAAATGTCAATTTTAAAATACTGCCTTGTACCTAAATGAAAAAGTCTAAGTAACTGAAGTTCTGGGTAAGGATAAATTATCATAAAAATTGGCAATATTAAGGTTAATTTCCTATTCCAGTTTGAAGTAAAAGCTCAGGATCAACACCTGTTGTGGATCACATCTGAAAGTCATTGAAATAAAATTAAAGCATTAGTACCCATACCTATCCCAGCTTGTCCTACAATCCATGACAGTCTGATGAAGAGCATCACACCCCAAATATTTAACATACATCGTACCTAGGATAAAACAAATTTAACATAGATTAGTTCTTGCATCAGCAGTCATTTTCACTAATTATTCATTACAGTTTTTAATGTTCTTGAAATTATCTTGCTCTATTTCCTCACTTCATATTATTTCACAAGAATATGATGCTATTATACAAGTTTAAATTTGATTTAAAAAAGGAGACTTAAATATGATTAAAAAGTTACTATCTTAAATACAGAGTTAAGAGTATTTCAATGTCTGATACTTGCAGTATCTCTTAAGCAAACAATAATAATAATTTAGATTTAGACCCTAACCTTTAAGATCCAAAATTCACATTACAAAATACATGATTTAAAGTAAAACAGAAGTCTATGATGACTGTGAGGTCTACAATCCCAGTTTATATCTCTCACAAATCTCTCTCTCATAAAAAACATGCAGTAAAGTAATACCCTACTAAATAACTTACTCTTTTTAAAATAACAAAAACTCTGCTGCAACTTTCCATTTCTATAACTTTTGTATCTTACAGCTGCAAAATAACAGGATGGAGACGTGTGCATTTTTTTTTTTAATCCTTGTATTTACAACTCTTAGATCTCAATAAAAATGGAGTTTACATTGTACAGAATTTAGACAGGAGACTAAAACCAGATCCTGGGGGTCTCTCTTATCTAAAGAGTAAGATATCAAAAGCCTTACAAAATAGGAGATAAGGACCTCTCCAAACCAGAGAAGTCCAGTATATATTTTTCTACTACAGTATCTTTTTCCTTCTTGGAAATCATGCAATGTAAAAACTCTTAAAACCTGTGCTAAGAAACCATACACACTTAAGAACTTATAGCCCTGAAGTATTTACTGCCTTAAAATTCAGCTGAAACAGGAGCAACCCTTCCTAAAATTATGGCATTTATCACACTTTTCATTCATATAATCTTCATATTACACTATCACAATGCCTGCCAAAAAAAAAGAGGGTAGCTGGAAAAATCTGCAAGAATAGATGAGCACCTGTAAGAAACTGAAGAACCTCATATCAAACTTACCAGCACACCTTTTATCCAGCCAAACTTGACTACTCCTTTGCTGTCAGGTGTGTAAGCAGCAGCTGCATCTCCAGCCGGTGCGCCTTCCTCACCATTTGCGTAGCCATCCTCAAACGGCTCCTTGGAAAACATAAAAAGAGTTTGTATTTTTTTGTGACTGACAGAGCAGAGTGGGCATGTGAAACTAATGTTTTTTTTTAAAAAAAAATCTTACTTGTGTAAACAGAAAAATTAGAAGAATGACATGGCAGAAGTTTTAAGCAGCTCCTTTACGCCCCTTGCATGACCCACATCTTGGATTTCAGGGAATGTAAAACAAACTTACAAGAGCAAACTGTTAACAGCCAGTGTGGTAAGTATATTCAAGAATTAAATCTAGATCCCTAAAAAAGTGAAACACCTGATCTGTAGAAAAAGAGCTGAAGATTTCAACTGCACAAGAAATTTTACTTGTCTGAAAGCACAGACTATTCTACCAAAAGTCACAGGTCTCTGCTGTAGCATTTCCTGTTGTTCAGACGCAGATGTCATTTGATCAATTTTTCAGGAAATAAATTATTCATTTCCCTGTAAACTATTCTACTATTCTTTGTAAGGTGATGCTGCCAGAAAAAAGGACGAGAGATTGGCATTTCAGTGAAAAGGAGGGAAGAGAGGTCTCTTCCCAAACCCTGCTCCCATTTAAATGGGAAGGATGACAGATGGGAGAAAACATCAGCCCAATAGACAAAGGCTAACTTAGCACTCCTAGCTGTTAATTTATCCAAAGCAACAAAAATTAAGAATGGACATACTAGAAAGATCCTGAACAACATCCAGCAAACCAGTTCAAGCAGCACATTGTGAAGCAGCCTGCATCCCAGGCTTAGAAAACATTTAAACAATTAGAGGTTCAATCCCAATAAGGTAAAGGGCAAAACCCGCATTTGCTGAGACACAAAATAGAGTGGACAAAATAAGGCTTTAAGTGTATGCAGGGAAGGACTAATAAAGGTTAGGGTGAGGTATTTTACCATGTTCTTTCTACTCTTGATACATTAGTACCAGACAGAGTCTCAGCACAGAGTCCAGAGGAAATATTTCTAAACCTGTTGATTATGAAGACTGTCATCCATACGTTCTTTTAATCAGCAGTAAACATACAAATCAGATTTTTAAAAAAACAGGTTATGTCAACCTTATCCAAAGGTCAGTAGCACAGATTCATGTCAGTGCTTCTCTCAACTGATGCAGAATTATGTAATTCTCATAGAAACTGATACACCTGCAACACATCTGGTGATCTGTAAAGGCACAAGCTTTCCACTGTTAGGCAGAATGATGATCGGTTTCCAGATCATTACCTTTAACAGCTTACTCTCTTAAGGAGTACATTATATTGTCTCCAGAATGGATTACAAAAGGGAAAAAATATAAAAAATGGTATTTGTTATAGATATATTCTTTCATGTATGTGTCTATATATATTATATATTGTGTTAGATACACTAAACAGAGAAAAACCAGAAACATAACCAGGAGTTACCCAGTTTGCTGAATTGCAGCCTTCCTGAAGAACTAATGGCTGTAATTCTTGGGAGATTTGCACAGCCTTTGACCAGCCAATCAATCTACTGATTGCTGATTTTTTTTTTTATTTAGGCACTCGAGCCAAATCAAGTAGTGGCTTGTAATCATTTAGAGTGGTAAGAAGAACAGTGAGGGCCAAAAAGAGAATTACAGTGCTGCTACATTTCAGAAATGCTGACCTGCCTGAACCAGAACTAGGAAAACATCTCCTATTCAAGCCTGAGCCTTGTGCCAGAAGAGGATGAGCTGACCATAGCCTAGAAGGGCAGAATAAAATGTAAAAATCCTTCTAAGCATGTCTCCCTTTATGACTTCTTTCAGGAGGAAACAAAGAGAAAAGAGATGCATTAAAAAAATACACAGATTATAAACATGTTCACAACTGCCAAAACCTCCAATCAAGCATGAGACAGAATAACCACTTACTGCTTTTTCATCTAAAACCCACTCTTACTCCTCACAGAAAGCCATCACATTATACTTAGAACAAACTCTATTTTAAACTATTACATAAAGGGAGTCACATTCAAATTATCTAAACAATTTTTAAGCTTAGGCCAAAAAAAACTTGCCAACATTAGATAACATCTTCTGCTATTACAACAACACGCATCATTCTGTAATAAGAAATAACAAAATTGTTCTCTAAGAAGACTGGTCAGGGAGAATCAAGGAATGGTAGGAAGAATCTGTCTTTTCATGTCTTAAAATAGTGAAATATGACTAAGTGATTAATGCCTTTTTTTTTTTTTTTTACCAAGCTTGGAGTTTGTTTGCTGCAAGTTCAGGTTTGGTAAGAAGGTGGAGAAATACCCTTGTATCTAGTCTAAGAAAGGATCACACACTTCATCATGTGAGCATGGCTGGCCAAGTACTAGTAAAACCCACACACATCGCCAAGGTGACTCCCAAAGGTCACTTCAAAACCTCAACCACCGTGCGGCAGCTACACATTTTACTGCAGAGCTCAAACAAGCCCCTAGCTCAGCCTGTTGTGGAGACAGTGGCTCACAACTGGTATTCCGAGTTATCAGTTACCAGATCAGCTCCAAGATACTGCACACCGTGAACACAGGAAAGTTTTGTTGTGTAGGTCTCATCTCTCCACACTGTGCAATATTTCTTAGGAAAATATTTTGAGGCACAAGCAAAATGTAATAACTGAAAGGTTATTCCTGGTTATTGGTGCTGGTGGGTGCCCAATAAAGCAGCACTGAGAACAGATATTACAGAGTGTGGGCACATAAGAATTTCACTCCAGAAGGCTCCAAGCTCAGCCCTCTAAGGGAGTATTAAGAAAGCACCACTGTGGTCTCAGCTGTAAATCAAGCAGGCGTAGTATTTTTCATGCTCATGCTCATGAGGAAACAATGCTTCTACTCAAGTCAGACACTGAATGGAAAAAACTGCCCTAGCACTATTTTAGAACAGCCAATACATGTATGATAAGATCTTCATAAACAGTAAAAAACACTAACACACTGTGCACTTGGAGGGGGTGTAACAAAAGGGGGAAACAAAAGGGGGTTTGGCATTTCAGATTAGAAACAGTCTTATTAACACAATTCTTGAAACAATCAAAAATACTCAGTCATGCTGTTCATTTGCACTGTCAAAGGAAAAAAAACATATGTTGACAAGTTGACAATTCTATCGTACAGTGAGAGAACTTCAGACAAGAAACAGTTAATTTCTACTCCTACACAGATAATCTACTATTGCATCTCCAGTGTTGGATCATAACAATAAGTTATTTGTGACAGCTGTGAATAGCCTCCACATCTATTTGAAGTAGATTAGTAATGAGAAAATACTTGGTATTTTGGTAGAGGATACCTAAGATTTTTCACACAGCCTGTAATACCCTGGTGCACCAAGAAGTTCAGCAAAAATTGCTTTACTTAATTCTTGAGAATGATGTATGTCATGCAGCAATTTTTTTTTTTGTGGTGAACTTATCTAAATCCCATCTTAATGGCAATATACTTGGGCTATGTTGAACTGCATGAGGCAATACCAGAATAAACACACATGAAGTCTTGTTTCTTTTCAAGAATCACAACTTGGAAGCTGCAAGTAAAGGGCAGGACCACCAGCAAGTTTGTATGTAAGACAATTTGCTGTATCTCCAGGCTGCCACTGTGAACTGCCTGATTTGGTGTGCTCCTGGTAGTCACTTGACTTTAGCTAATCCCTCCCATTGCTGTTAGTCCTGTGCAAAAACAGGAGGCCAGAGAAGCACCTCAGACTACAGCATTTAGCTGCTTTTCCCATTCCTCAAGTTTGGCCAGTTACAGGTTTAGCACATGCTAAATGTAATATGAGGTTCTTCTCACACGAACTCCCTAGAAAGTTTTCACAAGAGCAGCTTCTTCTCATTTTGACAGGATACAGTACTGAAGCTGGTTTCAGTAGTTCATTTTATCATAATGCTAAAAATCAAGAGTCTAATATTTTCAAGCTACGGCTTCTGCAAAGAAATATAAAAATGGCCTTCCACTACATTTAATCAAGCTGTTTACACTTAAAACTGCTTTGTACTTACATTCTGAATTCTAATCCTATATTGTGATACATATTTATTCTGATTACATGCCTATATTCTGATAATGAGCATAGTTCTCTCATACTTACTGAGAACAAGAAAAAAAATAAAGGAAGCTACCTGAGAACTATCTTTGCCCAAAGAGTACTGACAGAACAATTCTGTGCCCTGACCAGTCAACATCTCAGGAGCTCTGTGGCTGGGGATGTTTGCAGGAACCCTTCTTGACAAGAGTGAGAGGTTTTCATACACCTTCTGCAGTCCTTCACTACTGCCAACCTGTTCACTAGCCCTTACAATTTATTGTTTTCATCTCCCAAAGGTTAATTTTGTAGTCATTGCCATTTTAAGATGTTCCTTATTTTGTGGAAGGGAACAAGCAGTAAAATATATTGATCCAGATGCAGGATGCCATCTGTCTCAACAGAGGAAGAATCATTACTTGGAGAGATTATACTCTCAAATATCCCAACTCCAGACCTGCACACTATTAACACTAGGGTTACAAAACCTGTTCTTTTCAGAATTAATACAGTTCAAAACATACATGAAAAAAGAGCTTATAAATATTTGTTTTGCTTCTTTGCTTTTCTAATTAAAGGATACTCTAGCCAAAGCATAGATATAATAAAAATGACAGAATAAAGCTATCAAGTTACTTAAGAATTACTAGACATTTTGCCTCAAATGATGGCAACACTTCAAAGGCTTTTTAAATGCTACCAAAGATCTTTTCCTTGAAAGAGCAAATGAACTTTTGGACTCTAGCTCCCACCACCTGTGACACTTCCAAGGAGCTGAATAAAAGATTTTAGAAATGCTGGCTGTATTTCATGCATAGAATAACTGCACAAAATAATCCTGCTGCTATGGTGTTTACCTCTGATACAACAGAGCTTTTGAAAACAGTCGGTACTGGTACAAGTGTGATGCTGATAAAGAATAAATAATAAGCTAGGTATTAAATGTTGTCTGAAGGACACCAAGCAGTATCATATCTATCTGT